TCCTAGTAGTAAGGCACTTGTTACTAGTAGCGATGCACTTGTTACTACCTCTTTCCGACCTCTCCCAATGCCACGGGCATCACCAGCGCCACCGTCGCCAAGATCCCACGCCTTGCCGGCCACCTAGGCCTTGGCGCCCGCCTTCTGTAGGAGTTCCATGGTGTCCTGCGTTCGAACGGAGAAAACATCCCGCGGATTCTTCATTTTCAGACTTGACATGAGTACGTGAGGTTGCACGGACATGTTGACCTGCACGGGTGACGTGTTTTTTCGGCATCTGTACTCCCGCACGGGTCGGCAAACATCGTAAACAAAAAAGAACGTCCCTGCCCTCGTGTTAATTACCCCCCCAAAAAAAGGGAGGGGTTGTGGGTGAACTACGAATTGGCTCCCTGTGTGGTTTACCAGTTGTGTTATTTCGGTGGGCAAGATCACCTGGAATATCATATTATGTGTTATTACATTTTACAAATATTTACAAATATATGTTATACAGCCATAAGGAGATTCGTCCCAGATTCCCACACATCCAGGCACGTTCCTTATCGAAGACCACATCCATGAGATATATTTGGGGGATCGGTTGATTGGAAAGGGACCAAGTTCACCTGGCAACCAAAGGCGAGAGCAGAAATCGGTTTTCACAGTGCCTTCATCTTGTTCTTCTGCGCCAGTGCCAAAGGTGTCTGGCCTCAGCACTTTCAGCGATTGCTGCCGGTTCTGGGAAGCTTGCTTGGCTTGGGTTGCTTAGGCCTGTTTAGGGCTAAGCCAAAGAATACCAACCGCTGTGTTGTTTGGACGATTTTTAGATCCCAATGGACCCCCCCTTCTGAATCGCCACGCTGGGCGCTTCTGTGCTTCACGAGGACACAGGTGATCTTGCTGAAAATTGAATTTGCTTACTGGAATTGGGAGGCCTGCACTGGAAGAATCAATGCATATTTGCTCTATATATGCAACAGTTTCTGGGGTGTTCCACAAAAAGATCAAGCAAAAGCCGGGAAATAGATCATCTCTCTAGGACATTGCGATTCTAGAACAACTTAGAGAACTGTCATTGTCATGTTGGATGCCACCATGAATATCCCACTCTACAGCCCTTTGAAATTCAACATTGACAAATAGATTTTGTGCGTGACATCAAGCGGATTACACAAGTCCCAATGTTATTTTCTTAGAAGAAATCGTCAAGATGGTGAGATAGCCCTGTTAGCAACATGAGCAAATATCATTAAACAAAGAATTCCATAAAGATAAATTCCTCCGGCTGTTCAATACAGCCTTTTCGCTCACGCAAACTTCTAGACGGTGAGCTGGATGTTTAACCTGTCTGCGTCTGGTGGGGGAAACGTGCGTCTGCAGGTTCCTGCCAAGCCTGTCAACAGGTGCCCGTGCCCTGGGTGTTTTGCTTGTTGAGGTCAAGCTTCGCCTGGTCGCCATCGGGCGACATATAGGTGACACTGGTTGGTTCTTCAAGGTCGGGAGAGGCTGGATATGTGTGGATAACCCACATGTGAAATGTAATGTGTTCCTGTTCTTGCCGGATTTGGATCATGGAACTGGTCACAATTGAATGACAAGGTGAAAGATCAGGTTCAAAGGCTTATCAGTCAGGAAATCATGGATTTAGATTCTGAAAGCCTAAGTACTTTCCTGCAAATGCTCATGCACCACAGATCTTAGCCTGTATAGAGGCAGAATTTGGTAGAAACCCAAGGTCCAGTGCTCCAATGATACTGACCTCCCACACTGCCGACAAGTTCTTGTGCACCGCTTGAGACCTATCAGAATCAACCAGTTCTTCTTGCAGTATGTTGTTGAATCATGTTGAATCATTTCTTGCCGGACGAACCGTTGAACATCGTTGAAATGAAGAAACACATGATCAC